GGCCCCGTGCCGGGGGGGGGGGCGCGCGGAGGCCGCGGCGCGCTCACCGTGTGGTTGGCGCCCCACATGAGGACGCTGAGCAGCGGCTCGGAGGCGCGGAACAGCTTCACCTTCTGGCACACGAAGTGCTTCTTCTTGGTCTTGGTCTTGCTGGCGCTCAGCGCCGAGCCCAGCGCCGCCCCGACGCCGCCCGCCGACGAGCCCCCCGCGCAGTTGGAGGCCATGGCGGAGCCGCTACCGGCACCGAACCGCCGCCCCCCCCCCAGCCTCTACCAGCGCCTCCGCATGGTTCGGCCCGGCCCGGCACACGCCCCCTCCCCTAGTGGTACCGCCCGCCCCTGTCAGCGCCGCGGTTCGGCCCGGCCCGGCCGCTCCGCCGCCCTGCCCCCCCCTCCCTCCGCCGCAGTGGTGCTGTCCCCGCCCCCCGCTCCCCCCGCCCCCGCGGTGGGCCGCTCCACCGCCGAGGAGGAGCCGCCGCCGGCCGAGCGCGCTCCGGCCCCGGCGCTCGGGAGGCGCCAAGATGGCGGCCGCCTCGGGAGGTGGGGAGCGGGAGGTGCCATGTGCTCCCCGCGGGGGGKGGGAATGCGCCGAGGAGGTGGGGGCGGCGGCGGCCGCGCTCTCGGACCGGCGCGGCCGGCGGCACAAGCGGCCAGAGCCGCTGCGGAGCTCGGGAGGAGAGAGCGGGAAACGAAAGCGAAGGGAGACGGCGAGGAGGAGAGAAAGGCGGAGCGGGCTCCTCCCCTCCGCCTCGGCCCTCGGATGGTCTCTCCCACTTGGCGTGACGTCCACGCCCTGACCACGCCCCGCTCGCAACGGACCAATCRCCGGCGAGGCGCCTGGAATTATGAATGGGCTGCTACACACGTCACAGCCRGCGTGTAAAGGGCGAGCGGGGGGCGGGGGACGGCGCCGCGCGGGGACCCCGGAGCCTCCGCGGGGACCCCGAGGGCCCCGGGCGGCGGGGGCAGCCCCACAGGCTGCAGATACCCTGCACAGCCCCCGGTGCCGGCAACACCACGAGTTCCCTTTGATAATGACCCCCGCACACACACAAAAAAGCTACAAAACACTTTAAAATAACAGTAAAATTTCTCCTTTTTAAAATAAACCAAACCTTCCACCTCTGTACATATACACATTACTTGCAATGCAAAAATTCCCAGAGAAAGAGTTGCTGTATTCAGCTATACTCTGTTCATTCCTTATCCTCCGAACAAGCTTCCTTTGGCCTAAAACATTCCAATCCACATGAGATCCCCTCTACAGACACACTACGGACTGGGCTAGTGTYACCCGCCGAGCTCCCGTGAAATGGTCAATTCCATACGGTCAATACCAATTTCCCGTGAAATTGGTAAATTACCCATTGGCTTTTGTTCTGTCACTCGTGTGGCTGCTACCAAATTCAATTAACTCACCAATGAATCTGCTCTGCCCCAGTCTTTAAGTACTAAATAAAAATAGGTCTTTCACTCTATCATATAAAGAGCTTGGACAATTTGCCCAATGTAAAAAGCAGTTACCACCAGGCATAATCTAGTAATAACAATATACAAAAGTGATACCAGTCAAAGTGGAGAGAGCAGGAAAAGATCTGGCAATAGGTCAAAAATAGAATACAAGGGCTCACAGTTCTCCAACAAAGGTTTGTTTGCAAGGTCAGACTCATTATTCACCAAGCCAGAAGAGCAGGACACRCTGCGGGCTGCAGCACAGAAATCCAGCAGCTCTTTGGGAGATGGTAACTGCTCCTCTAAAGCAGAGCGTGCAGCCAGAGGAAGGCTCTGTGCTGGAGATCTCTCACCTTTGGGGAACAAAGTGTCCGTTTAACTCCTGCACAGAAGCAGGGGAAGGGCAAGTTTCATCTCTGCATGAAGTTCTTTTCCAAGGCAGCAGGAGTTCTCTGGAGGGAGTGGATRTTGCGCTTCACCCGATCCTCTAGAGTGGAAGAGGTGCTCTCTAGTTTTAAGCGACTGCGGAAATGTGAACCAAGAAAAGAAGTCAGAATTGCTTTCCAAACATTACACCAYATTTGGCAGGATTCATTAGTCCCAAATCATCTACCTACGTTAAACTAAAATAGGAAGCAGTAAATTCTTTCTTATAAAGACCACAGTGAAAATGACTGAACAACTTTTAGCTTGGCTTGTAACAGATTCAATGTCTTATTTAAGGTCAGCACTCAGAAATACATTTCCAGTAGCTTGTCTTCCAAATAAAACTAGCTGTTAATTACAAATGCATTTCTCTTGGTTACTTTCCGAGAAGCAAATGAGGGAAAAACAACATGTTCCCAAGCTCATGGGAAGCTCTCCTCTGGGAGGCCAAATGCCAGAGCTTGTGCTGTAAATCACAATGTCAGGTACAGAAAAGGGGTCCTTGTAGTCGCTTCCTTCACAGTTTTGCTACTTCAAACCACTGCAGATCCTTCTCTAAAGGATCTCTTCATTTCCATCACCATCTTCAAACAGCACACTAATAAACACAGTTTGTCAGTTTTACAGAGGGGAACACACAGAAATCTCTTCCAACAAAAGATTTTGTTCCAGGAGACATTCTATGGTGATTTTAAGCACCCGTGCATGATTCCAGCTCTGGGCAGCTTCAGAAATTAGACTGTACCTCTTTCTCTGAATTATTTATGTAGCCTGGGAGGGACTACGTTACAACGATTCCATAATACACAACCCTGCCATAGGATCTTTCTCACACACGACTGCATCAGGGCTCTGGAAAAACAGCCCCGAGGACACACTGGGAAAGCACTCTCCTAATTGGAGGCTTTCTGGAAGTCCTCCTGCCACTCCAATTTCTTTTGCCTGTAAGCTATTATCCGTGTTTAGAGAGGTGCGTCTAGAACTGGTCTTATTTCTGGTTGAGCACAGGCACACGCTCTCGGCACAACGGTTCCCACGTGGCTTGGGGGACTGAAACTCTGCTGTGAGCTCCTACAAGCAGTTGTTAAAACATTCTGGTTTTAAAACACTAGGTATCTCTTTAGCAAGACACAAATAACTGACCCGAAAACTGGTAGCTAGTTATCACGGACATCACAGAAGTATAAAGTAGCTATTTCTACGTAAGAAGAGAACTTGGTAAAAGTAGATACCCCCATTCCACTGCACAACGTAGTAGAGACAGATCTGTACCATGATCACATGCTCCTGAAAGGTTGTGGCCTGTATTTCCACCAAATGGAAAAGGAGATAACARAGACACTCACTGCAAGAACTTCCCATCTCGGGAGTCAAGCTTTTCCATCTCTCGTTCCAGCTCCTCCTCCTTTTGATGTTTCCTGAGGTTGTTGGCTCTCTCCTCGTCGCGCCACTTGGCATTTTCCATCATTTCCTGGCGTTTACGCTCTAGTTCCTCAGGAGAGATCTTTCTATTTGCATAGAGAAAAGCACTGTTGTGAAACAGTAGTTTGCTGGGCACCATCTCTGTCTGGCTTCCCATCTTTAGAAGGAGTTATGATCTACAAAAACTACGGGTGTTTAACATGGCTTTTCCTTTGGCACTCATACAGCAATACACCTAAGTACATGTCTAACAGCTCTGCTTTATCGTGACCCTAGAAAGGGTCTATTTTCTCCCTCTTTTCAGCCTTCTTAATTGATTGGTAAAATGATGCCGTCAAGATCATATTTTCTTGATGACAGTGAAAGAAAATGCTTCTAATTAACAGTCTGCAGGATAAAGGCTGACTGCACATGGTTGCCCCATACAGCAATGCGAGACACACGGAGAAACAGCAGCCACATGAGCTGGCTTGGGAAGCTGTCCAAAGCGTTAGCAATTAAGCTCAAGAGCATCAAGCTGAACACTTTAGGTCTGTCTGCTTGACTCTCTGGTCCACTGATCTATTTTAGTCAACAGAATGAAACGTGTCTCGGATTACACCAAACTGTTTCATAATCATCAGGAGCAACTCGCACCAGAGGTGGGGGGACAAGATTTTACTCACTTGGTGTAACCCGAGGAATGCTGACGGCGGTAGCCCTTTTTAGGGGAAGGGCTTCTAGCTTTGCCTTTCTCCTCCCGACTGCTGTAACACACACACAAAAAAAAAAAAACCCTTCTTTTTAGGGCAGAGAAACACAAGTTATTAAATCCCTAGACYTTCCCCAGATTTTTCACACACATTCTGAAACTGAGAGCTCTACTCGGTTTTCTCTTCCCCCGCCAGCAGCCCTTGACAAACGTTACCCAGGGCAGTCACAATCAACTCACTGTTTATTGTGTCTAGAAGGGGATCTCGACCTCCTGCACCCAGACTGTTCCGCGCTCTTCTTGCTGCTGCGYCTCTGCGGGGAGCGTGACCGGCTCCTGGACCTGGAGCGATCCCGGTGCTTGTGGGGGGCCCTCTCCTGGCTGGCACCCGGAGAGCTCCGAGACTTGTGGTTCTGGTCAGAGTTTCTAATCTGGAATTTTAAAAATATCCTTAAGAAGGGGCAACATCTTGGAGCATCACAGCAAGGGCAGGCTACAGAGGAGAGTGTGTGTATTTTGGTCTAAGGGTCTCATCTGTTGGTTTCTTGTTTTGGCATTTGTGTCTAAAAAGGTAACTTCTGTATAACACTCAGCAATAAACTAATCTGTCATTACAGTTAACTACATTATCTAAATAGATATATAACTAGGAGAAAAGAAACTAAACAGAATTTATCTTAACCTTGGAGACAACAAAATTCCTACCAAGATCAATTTTGGTTTCAAGACTTAGAGGGCTCCAAATTGAATTTGAACTTCTATTAAATCACATCCCCTTCMTAATCTCCTTTAAGCTGGTGGAGCAGTTACTGCAGCAAGTTTTTCCAAGCCTCTGTGAGCATTTGTTCCTGAGAGAGCCACACAAAACACAGGGACTTACTTGTAAACCATATCCCGGGATCTTGAAAGGAACAGGTTTTGAGGAAGAATTGTTCATCTTCTTCTGAGATCTAAAGAGGAAATACAGTGGTACTGTTGAAGCAGATAAATTTATAAAACACAAGAATTTATCAAGTTAGGGCAGAGAACACTTAGTCTTTGTTTACTACTGGTATCCAGTGAGCTTATAATTTAATGATACAAAAACAAATTCGTAAAAGAACCAAACAACAACAGAAAAAAAAAGTCGGGCCTATTAACAGCATTAGAAAGACAAGACTCAAAAGAGAATTATGGAGAGACATAAAAAAGATAATATGAAATAAGATTTTTTTTTAATAACAAAGCCTTGACGCATACTTGTTTCTGCTCCGGTCTTCATCACTGCTGGCACTTGCACTGCTAGAACTGCGACGTCGATGTTTCTTGTGCTTCTTCTTTTTCTCTTTCTTCTTCTTTTTCTCCTTTTTATCTAAACTGTTTTGAAGCTAGGAAAAGCAAGATACCCTTTTTACTAAACCARTAATTAATCACTACCTATTAATCACTAGGGACAGAACCCAGCTCCTGCCCCTAGGGGATATTAATTTTGTCCTCTGCCCCTGTCCTTGATTCAGTGCATTCTTTATTTTGACTCTGTTACGGAAAACAGAGATACACCTACCAATTCTTTGATTTTCTTCATTTTTACAGGATTATTCAAAACCTCTCTCCTTTTCTCTTCTTCCTTCTTTCTAAATCAGAGAAAGATAAGTTAGTTTTTCCCTCTCAAAAAAAGAAAATATTATCATATTTTCCACAGAAGACACCAGTGAAGTACCAATCCTGAAAACATGTAAGAAGGATAAAGACATTTTCCCAAAATCAGCAGTGTCCTTAGCAAGAGATCCATTTAAGATCCAGTCTTTTTTTCTCCTACCTAAGAGTTCAAGCAATAGAGTAAACTATATACATATATATATATGCGTGTGTGTGTGTGTATTTACTGTTGTTGTTGTTGTTGTTACAATGCACCTGGCCACAACACTGCTAAATGCCTGCACTCTCACAACAGAKGAGGTATATTCGCTTATACATCAGAGTATGATCTGAATTTGCAGAGATAAAGACCAGTTTGTAATAACAGTCTTTGCATTTTCACGTCCTTATCAATTTGATGTCCATCTCTCCGCTCTCAGCACTCACAAATCACATCTTCAATGCAAATTCAGGTTAGCAAAACTACCCAAAGCAGCTAACTGATCAGGTGAATCATTAGATATTATATTATTGTGCCTAAACACGTTATCAACTCCACATTTTGTACCTTATCATGAAAAGTGGATCCTCTCGGATTTTGTTTGCCATGTCCAGCACAGAATTGGCCCCTGTCTTGGCAAAAATGGAGCCTGGGAGCAGCCCGGTCTCACTGGAACAGCCKGCATCCTTGTCCTCCAGCTTGTCGAAGATGAATTTATCCACGGGGCGGCCCAGGAGATACTCTTCCCTGTTCACCATGCCCCCGGGCCCCTGGTACATCCATTCCAACTTCTCTTCTTTTTTTCTGTTACCAAAAAACACCATTTTATTTGCTACGACAGAGTTCTAAAAGTTGCACTTTAAGGCACTGCTGCTGGAAACGTTTTCATGCCAAAGATATTAAACTCCTGACTGCTGGTAGAGGGGCTTTATTTTTCTTTAGACAAAAAGGTGTATATAAGAGCTACATACCACCACGGAAAGTAATTAAATGAATGAAACAGGAGAAGGAGTTTAATTACGAGCCTCTTCTACCCTCYTTTCTTCAAAAGCGGGCACAGCACAACAGCACAGCTGCTCCGATTAAAGCCTACAGCCTGGTGCTAGCAAGGCCTGCCAGTTCGGCTGTCGCTCCAGGAGTTACGGAGCGTTTCCAGGGTCCGCAACGGACCCGGGGCCACCGGCTCACCTGACGGTGCCCATGTCCTCCGCGTAGCGCTGCATCTCCTCACGGGCTCGCTCCTCCTGCAGCTCCCGCTGCAGCTCCTCGATCTTCTTCCTCTCGGCCTCATGCTTCTGCTCCGCTTTCCAGACCTTCTCCACATTGCGCAGGGTCTGCGGGTGCCAGCTCTTCTTGAGGTTCTGCGGGAGGGAGGGCGCGGGGACACGGTCACCGAGGGGACCCGCGGGGACACGGTCACCGAGGGGACCCGCGGGGACACGGTCACCGCCGAGCGGCCGCCCTCGCCCCTCCGCCCGCGGCGGGGTCTCGCCGGCAGCACGAGGCGGCGGCGGCTCCGCTCACAACCGGGATCTCCCGCAGGTTTTTGCGCCTGGGGCCTGTTCCGAGCTGGACGGGGCCCGAGGACCCCGGGAAACGAGGCCAGGCCGCAGGCCCCGGACACCTCCGCCCCGGGGATGGCAGAGGGTCCGGGTCCGGGTCCGGGTCCCGGTCCCGGTCTCGGTCCCGGTCTCCCTCTCCCCCCCTCCCTCACCAAGTCGCCTCCCCCCATGGCGGCGCTCGGGCCGGCGCTTCCTTCTCTGCTACCGGGCCGACCTCTGCGTCATCAGCGCGCGCCGCCTCCTCCGCGCGGCGCGGCGCCCTGACGTCACTTCCGCAGGAGAAGGGAAGATGGCGGCGTGAGAGGGAAGGCGGCGCGCGCCCCGCGGCCGTTGAAGGGCAAAAAGGAGGAGGAAAAAATAGATTTAAAARAGATTTTAAAAGGATTTAAGTCCCAACATGTAGATATCCCAGATGAAGGCAGCGCGTTGGGTGGCCTCGAGTGTGCGCGGCCAGGACTCGCCCGGGATGTAAGTGRGGCTGCAGCTGCAGCCTGGGCCCGTCCCTCCCCCACGGGAAACAAGCGAAACAACACGGGAAACGTCTCCTTTGCAGACCAACGAGTTCAGCAGCCCCCGGTGCCCCGTCCTGCTGGGCTCGGCCCAAGCGAAAGGGAGGATCGGGTGTCCGAGCAGTGCTGTGGTGGCCCATGAGGGGTTTGGGTCTCGCCTGGCTCAGCTGAGGAAAGGCGGTGCCTTCAGAATGGGACCCGCGGGCTGATCTTCCTGCCCAGGGTTTCGCTGGTTTGCTGGATGATATCTACACGCTTCCGCTGAGTTTGCAAGATGGTCAGATGATTTATTCATGTTTCAAGGCCCTTCATGTTTTGGTGCCACCTGGAATTGGGGCAAAACTCCCCACCAAGTAATGTGTCTGATTAGGGTTGTAGAAGGACTCTTTCAGAAGCACCTAGGAGTTACTTTAATACCTGAATCTATTCCCTGCTTGGTGGGGAGAGGGTTAAATATCTGAATTTATTCCCCATTCAGTGGGAATAGTTTTAAGTTTCAGTAGTTTCAAGAATAGTTCCGTTTCAAACACCCTTCTACAGCAGCATTCTAGACATTGCCCATCTTAGGGCCACAACCACATGAGGATCCCACAGAAGCTTCTCCCTCGGACCCCCGAGGGAGGTTAGGACCAGCTGCTTCCCCGGGTGGGTTTGAACTGGCGACCTGCTGCTTCCTAGGCCAGGACTTTGCCCCTGAGCTACACCCCGCCACGGAGGGGCCACCGCACTCCCCCTGGGGCAGGGGCTGTGGCGCAGGGCTTAGCTGTCCGCCTGCAGTCCCAAAGGCCGGCGGTTCAAATCCAGGCACCCCCAACCACCCATGGCAACATCTGCGATGTGTGTCTTTACCCGTGACCCAGAAACTGCAGTTTTGAGGAGACCGCCTYCTCCAACCTGCCTGATCTAGCAGGGACACTAGAGCGGCTGGCGCAGGGTTGTGTCCAGATGGCTTTTGAAGATCTCCTTGGGGTTGATACCAGGGCTCCATTATGAGTCATTTCAGGAAGGATCGAGTTTTCCAATGTAAAAAAAAAAAAAGAAAAAAAGTCTAATTATTTGCAGTTTAAATTGACAATTATTCACACAGGAGGAACTAGACAACCCGGTACAACTGTTCTGACAGTTTATTTCAATGTATGCGTGTTCTTATAAGCATACAGAGTAAAAATACTAAAATATAATTTCACATTTGGCAGAAGAACATCAAATAATCCCTAAAACGGGATTAGTAAAACAACCTTTGCTCTGTATTTCTCCTTTCGGTGAACAAATTTTGGGAAAGGAGGAAGGAAAAGAGGGGGCACCYGGATTTGAACCGGGGACCTCTTGATCTGCAGTCAAATGCTCTACCACTGAGCTATACCCCCCTGGTCTGGCTGTGGTACAAGCACTTCTAAAAACAATATATATGGGCCGGTTTTATGTCCACTGGTTGAATTCTTTTGCAATGTGTACTTGCTGTATGTATGTTACGTATATATTAGAAGATAGTGTTTTATTAGCAGATAATATTGGAGGAATATATGTATATACAGTGTAGTTACACAATCTAGACCCCCTGCTGTTTCCCTGGAGGATAAATATCCTATTATTATGGCCAAACAACTAATATTATTTTTTTGCTTAGTAACATGGACCCTGGGTGTAAGAGCAAACATTTGGGTAAGGCTCAGGATCTTTAATACTGGAGTTCAGATATCAGACGCCAAGTTCAGCTTGTTTGAAAATAAAGGGAGCTCCTTGTATTTTTTTTTTTTTTTTTTCCTGAAAAGCAGGACACAGGGGGCACCCGGATTTGAACCGGGGACCTCTTGATCTGCAGTCAAATGCTCTCCCACTGAGCTATACCCCCTGACTTACAAACAATAAACAAGCAAACAAAACAACATTTTAAGATACATTCTTCCCCAGGCATCTCTATTCTATAGGAAACAAGCAAATCCCATGGGGGAAGGTTGGTTGCAAGCCTGAGTGTAAGCAAGAAAGTCCATAGAGCCTCTGAAAAACCAAAAGGTAGAAATCTGTGATTGCTAGGAATCCTGTGAATATGGAAAAATTCTGGAAAAAGGCACATCTTGAGGGGGCACCTGGATTTGAATCAGGGGCCCTTTGATCAGCAGTCAAGTGTGCTACCACTGAGCTAATACTCCATCTTGGTAGCCAGTTGCCAGTATAAATCCTTTAATTATTAACTGATATTTACAGCAAACATTTGAAAATTGGCTCCAGGAATATATTTCTTACAAAATGTTTGCATTCCTGTTCACAACCRCACAAGTGTCAATCCACTTCTGTTAACAATCTTTTTAAGTTCTAGCCTCTACCTGATCAAACAGAGGCCATACCTCCCAGGCAAGATTTTTTGGTGAAATAAATAAAAGACCGTCCAAAACTAGTTTTTCCTGAGAAAAAGAAGGAAAAGGAAGGGGGCACCCGGATTTGAACCGGGGACCTCTTGATCTGCAGTCAAATGCTCTACCCCTGAGCTATACCCCCAGCTGGGTAGGAGCTGCAGGTAGGGCCAGTTCCCGGGAATGACGCTCTCCCGGMGCTGCATTCCAGTGTTTCTGCTCCCTGCACCTGCAGCAGTTTCTCTTGCAGAGAACATCCTAATTATCTTTCATTTCATAAAAGCCCCCAGGCGCCTCGCCACAWTTCATGCTTACGAAGTCCAAGCGAACAAACTTCCCAAAGGGATTCTGACAAAAGGAAATAACAAAGGTTTAGAAGCAGTGACTTGAGCAGAGCTGGCGCTYGGCGAGGCCCGTGTTTGGTCTCGGGGTGTGCCCTGCCGTGGGACGGCWCCCAGCGCAACCACCCGCCCTCCCCTGCTAACCGGCCACACGCAGGGGCAGAAAAAGCAGCCCCTCAAACCCTTCCTGCCACGCCAGGCTGCGGGAAAAACAGGCAGCAGAGCCCAGCAAGGGGCTCGCATCCAGGCCGCCCACCTCAGGGTGCTCGAGTGCTGCAGGGGCTGTTAATGCTCGGCCGAGGGATGATGCCCTTGGGAGCTCCCCAGGGAGCACGTGAAATTAGTTCTCCACTTGAAGCGCTGGGAGACATCAAATCTCCCARCCTATTTCTAGAGCAGCTGGCAGAGCAGGAGCCCAATACTGCACCAGCAGATTACAATCCAAAACTGAGCCYAAGCTGCTAAAATAGAACAAGAAAGCTTATTTTAGTGTTCATTCCTTACGCAAAAAGCTGGTGCCTCCATCTTCCTCCAGGGCCTGAGGAGCAGTTCCGTCATCGTGGTTTGGCTAGACGGTCACTTCTCCAAAAGCGGATGACTTCAGCCGTGGGTTTGGAGCAYCGTGGCATCTGCTGCACCCTTGAGAGCGTTCAGGGCTGCTAGGAAGCAGGGCTGCTGAGCTGCTCTGTGGCAAAGACTTGCTCTCAGTTCCTGCGGGTCCTTCCTCATATCCCCCTCCCCAGCTGCTGCAAGTGCACAGCTCGGCTGTAGCCGATATGAACACCTGAGAAACAGCTTTTAGGCCACAGCATTTTGCAGCCATACTGGTGATGGAACCTCARTAAACTTAAACCTAAATTAACTTAAACCTAAGTGAAAATCCCTGCTGAAACACTAGTAGAAGAATGAGCTGCTGAGCAGYTTATATCCCACTACCTTCCTGGCTCTGCTCTAGCTAGAAAGGAATGAGAGAAACAGTAGGAAAAGCACCAGCAACTTTGCCCAGCACAGGGCATTTTTGCAGCATTTGGGGTAAACATACCTTGCAACTCTGATCTTGAAGCTTTTGAGCTGCTCTGGAGAACTCCCATCTCCCTTCTCTGMTTGCAATTAGCGTCCATGACCCAGGCTTTGTTTCACTACTGATTGAGGTTGAGGCAGGTAATTAAGCCACCACCCGAGCAAACAGCAGTGGGCTCTCTGTGTCCTTGCATGTCTCGAACAAGGTATTTAACAAGCATTCTTTGGAGCCTAGTGATCAAAATGACAACAGCTCATGGTGTGCTGTTTTAGGCCATGCTTTCCCACCCAAACCAGTATCTCCTAGCAATTAAATTGCCCATTCTAGGGGGGAAAAAAAAAGTTGCAATGTTGCAATCTGTAATTTAACAACCGCCATACAAAGGGATTTTGTAGATGTTTCATATRGAGTTCCCATCCTTGCACATCCAAGTTGGATCAATTTGCACCAGTGCAATGCATCCCAATGCATTTTTTCCAGGATATATAATGTGCTCCAAAAATGCCTAATCCCTACACAGGAACTACACGCTGTACCTACTGAAATCTGCACCCACACAGGAAGGTCTTTAGCAAGGTTTACCAGAACTGGAGTATCTCCCTCATTGTAGCATTCAGTCCTTTGCCTTAAGCTTAAAAATGGCAAGACAGACACTGCGTTATTTTACATGAGCACTTTTATTTTATCTCTACAAAGACGAGCACGTTTATGCGATGCTTCCTGCATTGGAGGCTATCCTGGGCCACAGATCTGCACACTCCTTAGCCACAGGGCCTGTGATCGCAGAACCTGGAGAAGAGAAAAAGCAGAGAACACGTTAGAGAGCTGAGCAGGTGCAGCAATRGCATAAAGGGATATTGAGCACAGGCAGATCAGCCCGATGGTGCTCATGAACCTAAGGAGACGGATCCTTTGCCCAGGAGAGTGGAGCTCTCCATGGAAAGAGCCAACACACTCCTGCTCATTCCACCTTTGCCCTCTTCRAGAGTCCTCTCCATACCTTTCATTTCTCCTTTATTATTTACTATCACGCCTGCATTGTCTTCAAAATAGAGGAAGACGCCGTCTTTTCTTCTGTACGATTTTCGCTGCCGGATCACGACAGCTGGGTGCACTGCAGAGAGAAACAAGCAGCTCAGGATGCCAACCGTCCTGCTAAGCCCACCCCAAGAACAGACGCTGCAGAGAAACGCTCTCCTGACACCTCTCAACTCAATGCATTTTTCTGCAGCCTATATTTGCAAGACTTAAAATCACACATGGCCCATTAGCGGGGTTTAAGAAAAGCTGTAATTTGGACACAGCGCATAACCCAACACCACAGCATTTCAGCTAGCCCTCCGTGTGCACAATTCAGTGTTTTTCTAGCTTCCCACTTAAATTCCTAAGGCCCCTTCACAGGCAAYACTCAACGTTCAGCAGAGCCAATCACTTGGCCAGTGCGGGCGCAGGGCTCACGTGCCAAGGCCCAATGTGACACCACCGATTGAAGCGAGCAGCACGAGCTGCCACTTCACCCAAAAGCGGTGCCTTTGCTGTGCCCTTCCACGACAGCTCCCTGAGCCACGGCACGCAGACCCAGCAAGTGCTTTTCAGAAGGGCGGAACGGCCTCTTAGCCAGGCAGCCCCCAGGCTCACGCTGCCCCTCTCCGCAGCGAGCAGCTYGAGGAGATCCAGGCAGGACGTGATTCCACGCGCTCCTGGGAAGAYGCTCCGCGGGCTGAGGGAGCCCGGCGAGGCCTCGCGGCTCTCCCCGCACTCACCCTTCTTCCTCAGCTCGGGCTTGCCCTTCTTCACCGTCGCCATGACCATGTCGCCCACGCCGGCGGCCGGCAGCCTGTTGAGGCGCCCCTTGATGCCCTTCACGGAGATGATGTAGAGGTTCTTGGCGCCTGCGAGGGAAGGCAGCGCCTCAGCCCACCGGGTCCWGGGCAGCTCCCGCCACGGGGACCCTCTCGCCAGGCCCCCCATTGCGGCCAGCAGCAGAGACAGCCGCTTCACCCAAACGTGACATCCCCACGCGCCACCAACGCAGGCTCGGCAAGCGCTGTGCAAAACGACAACCGCTTTTAACGTCACCCCTGGGTGAAGCTGCTCCCCGGGGTCGCTAGGAGCCGGCTGCTGTCGCCGTTAACCCGCTCCCCTTCGCGGGCGGGGGCGGCGGGGCTCACCTGTGTTATCCGCGCAGTTGATCACGGCTCCCACCGGCAGACCGAGGGAGATGCGGAACTTGGCGCCGGAGGAGCCGCCGCGCCCTGCCGAGCAGCGGGAGACACGACGTGAGCGGGACGAGGCCGGGCCGCGCGCGGGGAGCCCCGCGGGGCCGGGAGG